ATTCAAACAAAAGCATTTTGCTCTTGGCCCCCAATATTCATGGTTCTCTTATGGTGTAAAATATATGCAATAGTTCTAAGAATCTTTACTCACCAAAATCATATATAGGTAAGCCTGAAAGAACAATTCCCTGGACCTGAGTCATGACCTCAAAACAAGTTCCATGTTTCCAAAATACAATGGTGATAGGAATTTGCATTGCAAATTAAAGAAAGTGGTAACCTGGCCCAAGTAAGCACAAAACCCAACAAAGGAAAACAATAGTTAAGTTATACTGATGCAGAATTATCTCCTTTGACTCCATGTCCTGCCTTCTGGGCACAGTGGTGCAGGAGTTGGTATCCCATGGCCTCAGAAAGCCCTGATTCCATGGCTTTGCTAGGTTCAGTATACCTGGTACCTCTCATAGTTCAAGTCTTGCGCCTATAACTTTCCCAGGCTGGTTGTATGCTAGTTGCTCCCAAGTCTTTGAAGTCTTAGTAGTATTCCCATTCACGTGTCTCTAGTAGGCATTACCCCAGTGTTGACACTCTGGGGGGCCCCATTCCCATACCTCTGTCGGGCACTGCACTGGGACTCTCTACAGTAGCTCCACCACTGACCCAACATTTCTGCTCAGCATTGTCCTGGAAAGTGCTGTCCACAGTGGCTCTGCCCCTACCACAAATCTCTGTCAGTGCCCCCAAGCTGTCAACCACTTTCTCAGAGGTCATGACTTCAGAGATTTGCATTCTCTATCTTGCAGAATTAGCTCCAATGTGAACACTGCCAAGGTTTACCCATTTGCACCTGCTGCAGCAGTGGATCAAAATGTAATTGAGCCTGCTTAAACCACAGAAAATGTAGTCAAGAAGTTCTGTGTTGGAATGCAGGGAGACCCAGCAGCCATCCTGTGGAGGATGCCTGGAGCTTGTCCCTATAAGGCACTCTGCCTCTGCCCTCCTAGAGCTCTGGCTGGGTCTGGGATGGAAGGGGCAGCTTCAAAGATCTCTGAAATGTCTTCTGGGTCTTTCTCTAATTATTTTGATGAACAGTGAAATGAGATCCCTTCTATCCAAGCTAATGTCTTCAGCCCATGGCAATCACTTGGGCACAGCTTTTTGTTTAGAAAAGTAACTTTTCAATTCTTTACATGGCCAGGGTATGAGTTTTCCTAATCGTTCCATTCGCTTCTCATTTAACTGTAAATTTTGTTTTTAAATCATTTCTTTCCCTATTTATTTATTTATTTATTTATTTATTTATTTATTTATTTATTTATTTATTTATTTTTGGGTGATGGGGTTCTTTACATGGCCAGGGTATGAGTTTTCCTAATCGTTCCATTCGCTTCTCATTTAACTGTAAATTTTGTTTTTAAATCATTTCTTTCCCTATTTATTTATTTATTTATTTATTTATTTATTTATTTATTTATTTATTTATTTATTTTTGGTGGTGATGGGGATTGAACCTAAGGCCTTGTTCATGCTAAACATGCCCTTTACCACTGAGCTACACCCTCCCAACCTCCCCTCCTATTTCACTGTATGGATGTTAAAGTAGCCACAGAGAAAGCATTTAAACTGCTGAAATGCTTTGCTTCTTAGAAATTCTTCTACCAGATATCCTAATTCATTATTCTTATGTTCTGTAATCCATAGGTCTGAGGACATGGATACAATTCTGCCATGTTCTTTGCAGTTGTGTAACAGGATAGCCTTTACTCCAACTTCCAATTCCAATGGCCTTTATTGTTGATACTTCCATCAACATTCTGGCCACACAACCATGCAGATTAACTCCAAGACTCATTTTGCTTATGGCTCTCCTCTGAGCCCTCACCAGAATCATTCTTAAATACTCTACTCATATCACTCTAGACATTTTTCTAGCCTGCTCCTCCAAATTCTTTCACCATCTACCCATTATCCACTTCCAAAGCTACTTTCATATTTTCAGGTATAACAGCCTCACTTTTCAGTACGAATTTTTCTGTTTTATTGTTTTCTGATTCAATAATAATAATACCACAGACTAGGTAAATTATAAACAATACTCAAATTCCTTGGTTTTCATGACACTTTGGCCCTAGTTCTCCTACCTCTAAGACTGTTCTTAGTGATCTGATTTTGAATGTTAATGTCTGCCAGATTTTCATTCATCAATCCTTTTTTCTCTTCTTTTATAAACACACACCTTTTTTTTTAAAGGATATTAATCTTTAAATGTCTTTTTCTGTTTGCTTTGTTTCCTTGGCTTTAATTAGTTTTTTTGTTTGTTTGTTTTTTCAGTACCAGGGATTGAACTCAGGACCTTGCGCTTGCAAGGCAGGTGAGGCACCACTGAGCTATATACATCCCCAGCCACCCCTTTTTGAGGCAGGGTCTCAATATACATTTTCCTTTCTATATATGTTCTTAGTGGGCAGAAAGGAGGGACACTTAAGCCAGTCAAAAAGACCATCAGAGATATTACAGTTTTAATTTATACTATATGTTAATGACTTCGATTCTGGCCCTGGTCACTTCTCTGAGCTGTGTACAAATATCCAGTTGGTAGTAGCCTACTCTTTACTTCGATTTTTTTTTGTTGTTGTTGTTTAACTGGGGATTGAATCCAGTGCCTTTCCCTAGCCCTTTTTCTTTTCAGACAGGGTCTCACTAAGTTGCCCAGGCTAGCTTCAAACTCATAATCATCCTGTAGCATCCTCCCAAGTAGCTGGGATACTCAGTATGTACCACTATACCTAGCTACTTGGATACTTAATATACTTTAGTATGTCTAAAGCTGTATACATTACTTTTTTCCTCAAAGGTGGTTCCTCCTCCTCTTCCTCCTCTGTTCTCTTGATATATAACCATTCAACCATCATGTAATCAAGAAACCTCATTCATCTTTGATTTCTTCTTCACTATCTCCCCCTATATCCAACCAAATACCAATTCCTGTCCATTTACTCTCTAAAACGTCTTAATGTCCTAGTCTTTATTTTTTCTATTTATACTCTACCCCAGGATCTAAAAATATCTTGTCTGTACTTCTAAAGTAGCCACTTATGTAATCTCTGATGCTAATCCTATTCCCTCAATCTTTATATGCCTTCTTTAAAATGCTTTGCAATACACATAAAAATTACTCTTCTTTTCATCACAGCATACAGTAACTTCTTTGACTTGGTCCATATTAACTATTGCTTGACTTTGTTAGAATGTTACACTTTCCAGTACCAAGTAGCTTTTAACTCTCTACATAATCCATTTGCACATTTTCCTAAGACCCTCACTTGGCTCTTAGCTTTCAACACTAACACTTTCAGGGCATTAGCTTCTCTATAAACTCCTCTACAAATCCTCCAGATGGCATAAGTGCCTCTCCTTAATAATGCACAGAGTTATCATTATTTATTTATTTAGGTACCGGGGATCAAACTCAGGTCCTTGCATTTGCAAGGCAGGCGGCAGAACCACTTAACTAAATCCCGGGCCCAAATTACCTTTATCTTTACATCAACACTTTGTATTATAATTACCTATATAAATACTTTTCTCTTTTACTAAGTTATAACATTTCTGAAGCTCCATTCTCTAGTAGCATTTGATGCACAGGTATTTAAAAATTTTTTGCAGCATTAAAATGAATGATGATTCATTTTTGTTCCAATTTTCCATAGTTATAAATAATCCTGAGATAAAAAGCTCTGTGCAAATGATATTTTAATATTTAATTTAATTATGATAGATTCAAATACAAAAGATTAACAACTAGGTCTAAAGCTATGAACAACTTCTATGCCTCAACAACACATATTCATTATTTTCAATATTTGAGAAACCAACAACCAAGCAGACTTTTCCCAATATACATGCATATTCGGAATTTTTTGTTATATTAGTCATTTACTTCATCCCAATAATCCATGCCTGTAAGCATTAAATAATTAATTTGTGTAAACTACCATAATTAATGCTCTACCTGTAGCCCAATCTCAACAATACTAGTTTTAGACTAGAATTAAAATGTATAGTGAAACTGTTTTAAAGATTCAGAATGTGTAACTTACCACTGATGAAACATTAATAATTCACTACCATCAGATTAAAAAAAGCAATCTAACAAATATTTGGAAATAACTAGAAAGTAAGCCACAGATTTAAATACATATCAAACACAAAAGTCATGAAGCAATCCTACCCAAGGAAAAGCAAAGAAATATTAAGCTGTATTTTCAATATCTAAAATTCACTTAATGCTCTAAATCATGGCTTGGCAATCTATGGTCATAGGCTAAATTCAACCCAAGAGTTACTTTTTGTAAAGTTTTACTGAAACACTCTGATGGTCATTTTTTTATCCACTGTCTATATCTGTTCTCACACTACAATGGCAGAGTTGGATAGCTCTGACACAGACTATGTAGGTCACACAGTGTTTAATCTACTATTTTGCCCTTTAAAGAAAAAGAATGACAGCTCTTGCTCTAAATTATTAGGAGAAAAAAAAGCAACTTTTACTATTGCTTTAAATAAAATACAGTGAAGAAAGTAAACAGCATATAAAATCCATGATTTACAGTAGTATCCTATTTTTTCTTCATTTGTTTGACAATTCTAATTAACTATTTGTACTCAAACTCTGTCCTGTCCCCAATCTGCTTTTATACAGGTATGTCGCTAGCTCTTTTTTTAGTACCTCTGATAACATCTGACAATAATAATCTCTCCTCCAACCTGGTCTGACCCAAATAAAGATGTAAATGGTTTCAGGAGAAAAAAAAAAAAGTTAGTAACTAGGATGGATACAGGTACATGCTTGGGGATGAAAGAGGGGTTAATAACGGAGAGTATTGTAAGGAATGCATGACAATGTGATTAAAACAACTACATAGATATTCTAGGAGGAAGAGAAAAAAACAAAAAGAAGCAAATAAAGTAAAAAAAATATTTAAAATACAAAAAATGGGCACATTTAAAAGCACAAAATCCATTAGCATCATTCCTTTAAGAAAGCCTTCTATTTACCTATCCAAACAGGCAAAGAGTCCAGATTTTCCTCCTACTGCACAAAGTACTTTGGGGGCACAGCGAGGTCGTGTTACCAAGATTGTCTGATGAGAGAGTCTGTGTTCAGGCATAAAGTGGTACTTTAGCGCCTCATTCAAAAGATGTTTACAAGTATGATCATCACGAATAAGATGATTTGCTTCGTACAGCCTTGTGAGAAACTTAACACTCAGCAATGGTAACCGTACACTGTTTAGGAGCCGTGCTAAGTATTTCTGGCGTTCTTGTACATCATACTTGATCCAAGACTCCAATGCGTAAAAAACAGTCTCTTCGGTAGCTACATTCAAACAGTCATTGGAAACAATTTCATCCAAATCAGCATGTGGAAGCTCAAAAAACTCTTCGGTCTGACAAACAGCTTCAAAATTCTGGCATATATATTTGGTGGCTGCCAAATAAAGGTCGTGACAACCATATGTCTCTGCAAAACGAGAAATTCCAATGCAATTACCAGGATCAAGCTGGCTTTCGAGAAACGCACAACATTCTTTCAGGACAAGCTTTATTTGGAGTAGGTTTGCTGCTGGAAGAAGAGATTCAACTGTGTCCTGAGAAATAAAAACAGTCCCTGTATAGGCATACTCCACAATGGCCTGGAGGGCAGTCTCATCAACGCACTGAAATTCAACCTCACTGTTCTCTTTTTCCGAGAGATTTCCAGTGAACATCGCTTTGAAATATGGGCTGATGCTGGCAAGTACCACTTTGTGAGCATGAATTTTAACATCACCTACACGAAGAATGATGTCACAGAGTTCGTGATGCTGACGAAGAAGATTCAAGCCCTGAAGAAGTTGCTCAGAATGTAAGTGGGTTAAATTAGCAAGCATGTAGGTTGGGGATGTGTGGTCCATCTACAGAAAAACAAAAAGCATGGACAGTTATTTCAAAATAATAATAGTACCACATAACTCAAATTTCTTGTTTATTTGCCTATTTCTTGCTTTTTAAGCAGTACTAGAAAAAAAGACTTTTAGAGTTAGAAAGAACTTAACAATCATGTAATTAAACTCCTTTGCTACAGCTATTAGGAGAAGGAGACCAAAATGTTACATACACTCCCCAAGTCATAAAGCTCTTTGCATAATGGACTTCTGGATCAAAACTGCCAAATCTTTCTATTTCCCTTAATTAAATTCAAGTCTGATAAATAGAAGAGGACCAAAAAGTAGAGGGAAGGTAGAAGCGGAGAAGCGGACCTAAAAAGAATTAAGATGTATTATATTCATGTAGCAACTCTCCGCGATGAATGTAATCACTATATACTACCAACATGTACTAATAAAATTAAAAATAAACTCAAGTTTGAGCTATCACTGAAAATGGAAATATGGGGAGGGGGAACTTGCTAAAGCAAAATTCATTTTGAAACAACAGTAGCTAGTTTTTTGTTGTGGCTGTTGTTGGTACCGGGGATCGCACTCAGGACTTGGTACTTGAGAGGCAGGCTGCGGAACCACTGAGCTAAATCTCCGGCCCCTCTAGCTAGTTGTTTGTCAAGTATTTGACAAAATACTTGAAAATGGATAATAGCAATTGCTTAGAATAAACAAAGAGAACAGGGCTGGGATTTAGCTCAGTGGTTCCTCCGCCTGCCTCCCAAGGATAAGGAGTTCCCCCATACCAAATAAATAAACAGAAGGCACCTATATAATATGACCTATTTCCTCCCTCTCTCACAATTCAAATATAAGTTATGGAGATATCAGTAAAGTAGGTTTCATTCCTTGTTTGTCAAATATTTGATAAGACCAGGGCCTTCGGTTGGAAACAAATTTCATGTTAACTCAAATCCTTTACCTTAACTTTCAATAATTTAACAAAGTCATCAGTGCTGTCAATTAATTCTACAACAACAAATCACTGAGAGCAGAATACAATATTCTACAGTGAAGGCAATACGTAAGGCTCATTGATCTATTCCATAGCAACTCAACCCCTGATCATAAATTCAGATTAAACACTCAGTCTACTTATACATCTAGAAGATGAAAAAGAATAAAATAATAAAAAAGAAAAACTGGAGAGACAGTACTGTGGCAGGCAGCAAATGGCTCTCCAAAAGACATTCCCATTACCACCTCTGGAATATATGAATGTTACTTCTATGGCAAAAAAGGACTTGGCAGATGTGACTGAGGATTTCAGATGGGGAAGTTAAGCTGGATTACTCAGGCTGACCCTATATGCAATCAGCATGTGCCTTACAGGAAGAGGGAGATCTGACATAGGCAAAGTGGGAAAAGCCCTGTTGAGTAACTACAGAAGTAGACTGGAGGACTGCAGCCATACACCAAGGAATGCTGGCAGCCACCAGGTGGAAGAGGATGTCTGCCAATGTGTACTAATTTCAGACTTTCGACCTCTAGAACTGTGAAATACATTTTTGCTGTTTTAAGCAACTGAGTTTGTGGTAATCTGTTACAGCAGTCATAAGAAATTAATACATGCATACTTCAAAATGAATCATAGCAAATGCTTAGAATAAACAAAGAGAACAAGGCCGGGGATTTAGCTCAGTGGTTCTGCCGCCTGCCTCACAAGCATAAGGTTCCGAGTTCACCCATACCAAATAAATAAATAAAACAGAAGGCACCTATATAACATGACCTATTTCCTCCCTCTCTCACAACTCAAATACAAGTTATCTTGCTACCAAGGATCAAACTTGGGACCTTGTACTTTCAAGGCCAATGGAAGCACCAATGAGCTAAACTCCTCTGCCCGGTTTCATTCCTATCTTTAAAAGCATTACCAAATTATTTAAAAGGTTTTGAGGGCTAGGATTTAGCTCAGTGGTGCCTCCGCCTACCTCACAAGCAAAAGGTCCCAAGTTTGATGCCCAGTACCAAAAACAAAAACACAACAAAACAAAACAACAAAAAAACCGGTTTTGAACACTGTTAAAAGAATATAAATAGTGGATGGAATGGGAGAATATAGCATTTCTGGTTTTTAAATGGGGAAAATCCAAACACTGAAATCTTTATCGTCACCAAAAATTTCCATTGTTTCACACTTTTCTCACAGCGAATTTTAAGGCAGTTAACAAATTACATTAATATTGCCACCTCCACATTTGATCTCTCCAAATAATCCTAACACCTCTACCATAAAACTCCTCAGGATCATTTCAATCAAGGAATGAAGAAGTCTAAAGAAATTTCCTGGTCTTCCAGTAGCAACTTCCTACTTAAAATAGAACACTGCTGAGAAGCCAGCAATCAGGAGGTGTTACATTTAGACATGGATATGTTTCTGTTTCTACCATGCTGACCTTTATAAATTCCCTTTTGCTTCAATTTTTTGAAGAAAGTTAGTATCTAGACCGAAAAGTGAAAAATCTATAACAAGGCAAGGTGTTATAGAAAATAGGTGACAGTTAATAATGCAATCCTATATTTATATCTAGTTAACATTACCTTCTCTCATCTTCATCTTCTGTATTTGCAAAATGGAAATCACAGTAGTGGCCAAACCACATACATCTCACAAAGTTTTTGAGGATCAAATCAGGTAATTTAAACAGGATAAAGTGTAAAAGTTTCAAGTATAGAGTATTATGTAAGGCAATTAGAAATATAAGATAATTTTAGTCCTAACTGGGTCAAATATTTTTAGATGGAATGGTGCATTTCTTAATCAAAAGTATTGATTTTTTCATGCTTAAGTAAAATGAGCTACCTCCCAAATGTTTTCTTACGACATGCTATCTTGTGTCTATAGCCTTTCTCTCCCCTCATCTCCCTTTCTCCAGTTCATTCTCAAAATTTGTCAAAATTAACTTTACCTGAAAGTCTACTCTTTTACATGCAATAATAGTTACATGTTATTTTGCAAAACATACCCCTTTTGACTCTCATTTTTCTAATTTAACAAGAATTATATTCAGACTGGAAAGTGAAGAATCAGCAATGGGAAAGGTAAATGAATACAAAAAATAAGAGAAGGGACTGAAAATGAAGACATAGATTTTTTAAGTTCACATCGCTCTCAGACTAAACATCTGTGTTCCAAGTTAGTCAAAAGAGCATGCGAATGAAATCTCTGAATCACTCTCAATGATACAAAACTGGTGACTATTTCCCTAAGCCCAGTATACATGAGCTAATAATAGGACATGTCACAGACTAACCTTGCTTTTTTTTTTTCAATGTGTTGAGTGTGTATATCAAGAAAATAGACTTGGAATTTAACTACATGTTAGTAAAGAACTTATAATTTGCCTTTCATGATTTTCTTGAGAATAAAACTAAAAAACAAAAACAAAAACAAAAACAAACCAACCTAATTGAGTTAGCTAAATTAGCAACTGGTTGAGCACCAACATAACTACTTAATGGAATGAGGACCACAGGAATGTATCTAGGCGTGTGCTAGAAAGGCCAAGATTAAAAGACTCAAAGTAGATACTGTGAAGCCATAAAGCCAGGAAAAACACTGAATAATAAAATGAGGATCCAAAAAGACCTGAGGAAATCTCAGAGGCATAAAAGTATATTCCAAAGCAACTACGTGTCTAATGCAGATTCCAAAGCAACTACATGCCTAAATGAAAAAATGACTCATCTGTAGGTTATTTTTAAAGGGTTCAGTGGTTCTAATTTTAGTGCTACTTTAATAAACAAAGACTATGTGGGATTAAGCTATATTAATGGAACTATAATACACAGAAAACCAAGGACATTTTTGTTTTTCTGCAAATGTGAGGCTACATCTTGGGGCACCGATTTTTTTGGTCACTATCCTTTAAAGGGAATCTAAATGAATGAGAACACCTTCTGAAGAAAAGAAATTCAAACCTTGTCTTCCGAGTAATGAAACTGAGAATGCTGAGTGGAAAAAGAGATCTGATGGTGACTGCGTGAAAAACCAAGGGATAAAAGTTACTTATAACATTTTTTCTGTTTTTGGTTTTGTTGAGACAAAGCCTCATTTATATAGTTCAGGCTGACTCTGAACTCATTTGTAGCGCAGGCAATCCTCCTGCCTCAGCCTCCTGAGTGCTGGGATCACAGGTGTGCGCCACCACAACCAGCTACAACATTTTCTTAACCACGGCAACTAGTGAGTGAAGTAGTCTATTCATTTGAAGCATCAGTTTATTTTCCTCCCAAATAATAAAAAAACTTTTTAAAATTTAAAAATAAGTCAATGTAAGGCACTGCTAAAGATTAACTACAAAAGAACATCTAAGCTTATGCGTCGTCATAATGAAAGCAAAAGACATAATGTTCATCCGTTTTATGTATCAACAATAAAATTTAAGACTTTTAAGGCACAATCAAAAAGATTCCAAATTAAAACTTTAAAGGGCAAGGTAAAAATAAGCAATTTAAAATGAATTTGACTGGGCTTGCATTACTTCTTTTATTTGGTAGGGTTTTTTTTTTTTTTTGGTGTGTGTGTGTGTGTGTGTGTGTGTGTGTGCGGTACTGGGGATTGAACTCGGCCTTGCGCTTGTGAGGCAGTCTCCAGAGCCACTGAGCTAACTCCCCGGCCCATCATTATTTCATTCTGATAAATGATAAGACCCCTTTTCTGCTATCCAGAAATACGAATTAGAAATTCATAGAACTTTAACTCTTTCAGGTACAGAGCTCTAAAACAATGGGCCTCAAAATATGGTCCTTGTACCCAACAGCTTCAGCATCACTTGGGGACCTGCTAAAAACACAGATTCTTGAGCACTACACAAATCTGAAGAATCAGAGGACACATGGGTGGGAGAAGACTGGACAAACTCTGTTCTTCTGAGGGGGGGCAGGGGGGTTGTTATGCATGCTAACAGTTGGGAACCAGTTAAACTATTTCTAGTGTAAACGCTTAAGTATTACTGACAGTTATAATTGTC